TCCATAAAATTTGTGTTGTCAAGGGAATGTGAGTTTTATTTTGAATGGGTTTTACTGGATGGTTTATGAATGTTTAGGTATTGAATTGTAAGCTGATGTAAGTGGGGTTTAATATTTTTGGTTTGTTTATTTGTATTTTTGAGAATTTTTGTTATCAACTGCTGCAGCTTGTCTGTAAAATTGTAAACTACAAGAGTAACTCGAATAGCACAAGTTGGTTAATCGAATAGAAATCCAGCACCAAGCAGGTATGATTCATTAATGGCACCAAACAGGTATGATTCTGGCATCAATTTAAAACCAAAACCATTCCAGAGTCACACCGGCTTAGTGCCAGATTTCTGATCAATTAACCGATTTGTGTCATTCGGGTAAGATTTTTAGGTCTCTCAATCCTGTCAGACCAATGCTTTAAGAGTTAGGATATGAGACAATATTCCAACATACAGAATCTCATTAAATTTCATCTGACATTTATTTTCAGATTTAAAGGAGTTTCTGAGCTGAACATTGCATTTGCCTTAACATCATTGGTCATTTCAAATTTATTGAAGCTGAAATCAATTCAGCAAATCTACATGATATGAAAAATCAAATATTCACTGCCATAATCCCATGAAAAGTTCATGAATACCTGTGCACTTTACATAATCCCCGTCTAAAGATTCTCAGTCGATGCTCATCGATTATTTTTTATTCATGACATTTCAATGAACTTGAAGAAGTTTTTTTTCCCCCTCCTTCTTTTACATCCAAACCCATTTTCATTCAAAATACCTTTTTTTATTCCATGTGCATACAAATATTTGAAGTGAACTTAAAGCATCGCATCGCACCTAGGAAATAACGAGACTGAATGATTCAACAAACATCATCGAAAAATATAATGATGAAAAAATAATAATTTTTTTATGCTCACATATGAGATTTTTCTTTCATTTATTCATCATCTACGATAGTTCATACGAGCGGGAAAAATTATTACAATTTGAGCCACAAAAAAAATGAGCAAACGAGTGAGTGCAGTCGGTAGTAAAAAAATGGAATGAAGAGAAAAAAAAGGATCAATGTGTCACAAGCAAGCATGAAAATAAATAATATCAGGAATAGGTACGTACGATCATAAATCATCTGCTTCCATTTCATTCTTTTGCTGTTGTTTTTTTTTTTTCATTAAGGGTAAAAATAATAAAAATATCCAATCATTTATACAATTTATATACTTTTCATTATTTCATGAGAAAAATGAATGTTGATGGAGGGAACTGGAGAAAAATTGCAAAACATTTATTACCGCATTGGATCACAATTCTTTTAATTATGTGAATGAAAATTGATTGATATTGTGTAAAATTACTTGTTTATTCATTTACAACAAGCTTGGATGTTTCTGATGTGCTGTGAGAATTTTTCGAAGCAAAACTAGTGGTTGTTAACTTCAATAAGGTCCAGCATTTTTGAGGGAGGGGGATGTGGAGGTTTGTGACGATTCATACAAAAAAAAGCTTTTTTCGTGCAAATTTAATCCCATTTTGTAAATGAATGTCATTTATGAACAGTCTGCGTGTCTGTCGACTGTCCATAGATCTCTTCTTCAAGTTTGGCTTTTGTGTTGATGAAATAAGTCAATAGTCGAACTTACCATTGAGCTGAAGTGTCTCGATGGCGGAATGGTTTTGTACTTTGGTACCTAATTATTGTAATACCGACACAGCGATCATAGGTTCGAGACTGGGTATGAGAAATTATTCACTTGTCCTTTTTTGAATCATATGTACTGAAAATGAGGCGCACAGCCTTCCTTTGTATGATACAGACAGAAATGTCACCAAAGGAAAGGTTCAGATCCCACTGTTAACTGTAGGTCTAGATTTTAGTGCAGTGGTTTGATGCAACCTCACTCGTTAAACTCTTATTAGCTGTAAAATGCCCTAGCGCACTTCTGGATCACAATTAATCTGATTAGCTAAAGATTGTTTTTGAGCTTACCAAAAGTGTTGACCTAACCCCGAATTTTAAATTTTTTATTTGTCTTCTGTCCTAGGACATTCTCTCATTCCTCTAATTTTCAATAAAAATCCATCCATCATTTATTTCAGCAGACAATATAAAATTATAGGGCTTTGTAAGTTCAACTCAAAGGGAAAAAAATATTGAATAATTCAAATTGATGACTCATTTTCAGCACACAAAAAAAAATTTCCTTTGTCATCATTGCCAATGTCACCGACTTCATTAAAAAGTCAAATACGATGATATTTTTTCAAGTATCCCTCATCCACTGCTGTGACATCTTTTTCAGGTTTTTTTATGTCTACCCAAGCTTTCTGTTCTCTGTCAATCAAATGCTGTTTTTAAAGTTACAAAAAAAAAAATCGGAAGCCAGGATGAAGCTGTGAAAAATGCCAACATTTAACCAGACAGATTTACAAATGAGACCATGAAAAACTTTCTTTTTTTTTTTCGGGTACAGAATCATTTTGGAAAGGGAAATTTATGTTGCGGAACTTTTTATGGATGGCAGTTTTAGAGCAATAAAAGTTAAAGTAATTTGGTGTCGGAAACTTTTTTTCGATTCTGGAAAGAAAAATCAAAAATTATGCAGGAATTGAGTTCATATGGCATTTTAAATGCGAATATGTTATGCTGCCTATTTGACTACTTTATGAAATCTGTTGACTCATAAAGTACTAAGACATGGGGACAAAAATAGGAATGAAAGTTCAGGTAAACTGTCATTGAATTTCCATTGATTTTCCTTTCTTTTGTGCACTTCCATCGCCGTTCTCATTCAATATTATGTGAACCTTTCAATATCAATTTTATATAAAATAAAGTAGAAAATAAAAAGGAAGGCATTGGCAGTTGAACCTTCTCAAAATAGCATTACAATCTTATAAAAATTGGCATGGACGGCATCATAAGTGACTCATATGAATACATAATTTTGAATTTTATGAGGGTTTAACAGTCCTGAGTACCTTTCGAGACGGAGAAGAGAATTGAGTAGTAAGGAAGATGTATAGACGGTCAGCGAGGGCAAAAAACAGTAGAAAGGCATAAGTTGCGACATAAATTGGACAATAAAGGCCAACGAATGTGTTAAATTATTTATGGACACACTTAAGCATGTCTTACTGTCATTGACTGTATTTCGTTGTTGTCATTTCTGTTCTTATTTTGTGCTTTGTTAGAAACAAAATGTGAAACTTAAGACACAACAAATTGGACAAGCTGGATCCTTGTCTGTGCATTATATGCTGAATAAAAAGCAATGAACCACATTTTTATGACAAAATAAAGGAAGTCGGAAGCTATTAATAAGCAGAATGGATGTTGCAACTTATTTATTTCCAATTCCAATTATCTTGGATATTTTTAATTTTTTTTCTGGAATTGCTGAATTTCTATTAAAAAGATCCAGTTAAACAAAATAAAATTGACTTTTTGCTCTTCTTCGTCCCAAACAGAACTCGTCCAAGACACAAAGTCATTCAAAAGCATATTCAGGAAAGCTCTCGCCAACCACTTGCTTCATGAGCCATAAAATTACACTGAAAATCCATTTAATTTTAATGGAACCCAGCATTTACATGATTTTGCATTTTAAAACTGTATTTGGAATTTAATAAAAAAATGAGATGGAAACAGCACAAGAAGGAACAAATATACAGCATGAAAAAAAGTTTTTATTGCATCCGAAAAAATAAATGTTTGATGTAATGTTCCATTGAAGGTGTTTGCCATACCAAATGCTGTAAATGTCTGGTTTGTAATCATCATAGAAGAAGCATAACACCATTCAAATAGTTGTTTTGTGTAATCAGATGGAAACTGATTCCGTTTTTTGGGAGAGTGAAATTGCTTTTAGCTTTTTGCAGTTCAATTGCTGCACTTAATTGGCTTTCTTTAATGAAATTTTTGGTTCGTTTGACATTTAATCACTAAAATTAAATTAAGAGGTTGCTCATTTTAAGGATGTTGATTGTGAAGGAACTAAAAGAGTTATTCACGAAATTTTATTTGCTTGGGCACGTAAGAATGTCTTATTTAAATTGATTGTATCTTTAAATGATTTAGAACAAGTTTATTCTATACGTTCCAGACCGATTTTTAGTACAAATTATTATTTGGAAATCTACATACCCGAATGGCACAAGTCGGTTAATCGATCAGAAATCCGGCACCAAACCGGTATGACTCTGGCATAGTGCTGGTTTTAAATCGAAACCAGCTTCATTCCAGGGTCATGCTAGCTTGGCGCCGGATTTGACATCGATTAACTGACCTGTGCAATTCGGGATAATAATCAAGTAAAAAGTCGTTCATGTGATTGCAAATAATGATTTAAAGTGATTGAAATTATATAACATTTAAACAAAATAAATTAGAACTTATCTTTTAAGATTGTGACTTGTTATTTTAAGTGCTGATAACTGATAGCTTTTAACTAGGGTGACCATCTGCGTAGTTTTACAACGGACAGTCCTGTATTTCAAAACCCTGTCTTGTATAAATTTGAAAATTTTGTTCCTGGTCCTGTATTTTTTTCACGAAAATTTTTGTTAATTTTCAAATTTTCCTTTGTGTCCTGTATTTTTTAGGAAATTTATCAAATGTCCTGTATTTTCATAAAAATTAGATGGTCACCCTACTTTTAACCCTAATAATACTCAAGATAATTTGTCAGTGGTTCAAAAACTGTGCGAACGATTAGCGAAAAATTATATTCTATAATTTTTATATTTAGGTATTTTTATTCTGATTGAGCTACTCTAGTCCTGAATATATAGCTTCTATTTGAGTTATTAAATGTAAGAACTATGTTTTAACTTTAATTATAAAAGTTTAATTTTAAATAAAAGAATTACTATTAATTTGAAACGTGGTTTGGGACATAAAAAAGTTTAAGAAGCAAGGAATTAGTTATCAATTTCCTTCAATAAAAAAAGTTAACAAAATTCGAAGAAAATTATTTTTGATAAGGCAGTGAAAACATTGAAATATTAAGCTTTAGTAAAATTTAGTCATTCATTAAAGGTCGAGAAAGTAAAAAGTCAAAAATGGATGAAAAGTTTTATTTCTTAATTTTTATATTTTTGGTTAAATTGAATTCGATAAACGGTCAAGATGAAATGATGCAATGCAGATATTATAACCATACAAATGGCCTTTATTCTTGTGATTTAACAATTTACAATCCATACGGACTTAATAATTTTACTGCAATAAATGGAACACATTTGTCAGGAAAAACCGATGCATTGGTTAAATATATTTTTCGTGATCAAATATTCGTAACTCCAAATATTCCGTCGATAATCTGTAAACAATTTCAAAATCTTGATTATATAGATTTCCAATCATCTGGAATTAAAAAACTTGATAGTAGCTCATTTATTGATTGCAAAAAAATCACAAATATATATCTATACAATAGCCAAATAAGTCAAATAGGAGAAAATACTTTTAAAAACTGCCAAAATCTTATTTATATATATCTTCATTTTAATAAGATCAGACAGTTGGATGAAAAATCTTTTAATGGAGCTTCAAAAGTTCAACATTTGTATTTGAACTTTAATCCAATCCAAAATTTTCCAAAAAATATTTTTAATCCTTTGACAAATTTAGTCAATCTTCATGCTTATTTTACAAATCTAAGTGTTATTCATTCAAATTCTTTTGGAGTCCATTTAAAATTAACAGGACTTTATTTACACCACAATCAAATCGATGCATTTGATGAAAGAATTATTGATAAGACGACAGTGAGCATAATAGATATGACTAATAATACATGTGCAAATAAAATAATCAACGACACAACAATGTTAAGAGACTCCATGAGATTAGCTATGAAAACTTGCTTTTTAAATTATGAAAATTTAACAATGGGTAGTTAAAATTTTTTTTATGTTAATTTGATTAATTTTATTAATGCAAATAAATATTTTTAGGTACAACGACAACAATTTCATCAACAGCATCAACAACAACGTCATATATTGAACAGACTACAACTACAGCCTTGACATTACCTCCAGGATGCATTGGCGGAAATACAGATGAACGTGTGTGTCGAATAGAGGATGAAATTCAAGATATTCATGAACAAAGTACGAATTTTACAACAACAATAAATAAAATGCAAGATCAAATCGACGAATTGCTAAATCGACCATGTGCATGCCGATAAAAATTCAATCATTGAAATGTTTCTTTTTTTTAAAAAATTCCAACATGGGATGTTTTTTTCCACATTTTTCATCCAAATTTAATTAATTCATACATTCAAAATCTTATTAATAATCAAACGGTATTTAAATTAAAAACCTTGAAGGTTGGAGTTAAATATATTTCCAAATGTAGCTAAACAAAATTCACTAAATAAAAGCACTATTATTATTATTATTTTTTTAAAATTCCAAAAAAATATTAACAAAAAAAAATATAAACCGAAAATCTTATTTTTATAACCTTCGGCCAGTTTCACAAAAAGAGACAATCCTCGATTTCGTTATCGTTTATAAGAACCATGACTAATTTAAGTTTAATTTTGAAAGTCATGTCGACCAACACTTTCATAATCTCAATTTTTATCACACGATTTTTTGCAATTATGGATTCACAATCAACGAACATACATACAATATGAAATTTACAATCCAAATGGATTAAACAGCTTTACAGAAGTTAATGGGACGCATATAGCAAACATGTCAAGCAATCATGTTCAATAAATTGTCATTAATGGAACTTTAAGAACTACTTTTTTTAAAGACGTCATTTATGAATGATCGTTAAATTGGCTTTTAATTTTTGTTTCAGAAACAACTACAACCGCACCAATTTCAAATTCAACCACACAACCTCCACTACCAGGATGCATCATTGGAAACTTAGACAACAGAGTGTGCAGACTTGAAGATCAATTTGATGAAATTGACGAAAACTTAAACAATGAAATTGCCGATCTTAACTGAATGATGGATATTTTGGTGAACGAAATTGAAGTATTAAGAAGGGAAAAAATAGGATTTCAACAGAACATGGCAGAAGCTCTTGATAATCTACAGGAACAAATCATTGAACTTGCTAATCGACCTTGAGAAATTTTAAATAAAATTTTTGAATATTTTTGTCTGCCTTAAGAATCGCAAAAAGAAATCTTTGAAAAATCTTCTTCCATTAATCTTCCTTGATCCTACATTCACATATTCGACTCAACTTTTAATGAGAATAAATAAGAAAACATTATCAGAACTTGGGGGAAGTAAAGAAGAAGAGGAGAAAAAAAGCATAAAATTGTCATCACGCATTTTGAGGAAATCTCGACACATTAACAAGTTCTGAGTGCTCTTCATATTATTAATATTACAGGCTAGAAGAATGAAAATTAATTTTATCATCGCATTTAGGATACATTACCTTATCGCTTATGACTGTTTTAAATGACTCAGGTCTTTAGGAATACTTAATAAATTTTTTTAGCACTTAACTGCGTACGAGTGATGATTAATGCTGATGATTCTTAGTATTTAATGTTTCTTTGGTTGAGTGTGGCAGCTGTGCAAGGGGAAAACATCATAATAAGTAAAATTGTTCTTCACAAATTTTTTAAATAATTTTCTTGGATATTCGGCGGGAAATGTTGCAAATTTTAAGGTTAAAACTTTTTTCCATCATGTTATTTTCCCCTTGGAGATGTATATTTGAATCTTTCACTATTTTAATCTAAATTATGAATCGTGATTTTTTAACAAAAGTTTGTAATGTAGGAAATATGATGCTTAGTCATCATATTGTCTGTGAGTCAAGCAATAGCATTACTAAGTTGCAATCAACTAGATGCAAATTTACTGTATATTAATTATAATCAAAAGTCATAGACAATTCAATCAATCAGGCATTAAAAAAAGTATGGAGGAACTTAAAGAGCAAAAAGCACAAAATTCCAGATCCATAAGCAGCGCAGAGCGACGATTACAAGAACTTATAAAGTTAAAGAACGAGTTGGATGCTCAATAACGAGAACTAAAGCAAAAAGCCTTCAAAACAGCAGTTGAAAGAGAGAACAAAAGAATTGGAGCAGTGAAAATGGAAATAAACAGCAGTAATGATTCTAGGAATATTATTGTAAGGAAGCTTAACAGTCTAAATTCAGTTCTAAATTTTAATTAGTTAAGTGCTATTTATTTATGACGTCTAGGATGATGAAGTGTGGGTTCGTTAGTACTCAAAGTCTTAAGCATAAGTGCTCGTCAACTCATAAATGAACTCAATTGACTTAATAATATAAACCTGACTAATTTGAAAGATTCATTCCATCGATCAAGTCATAATCTTTAAATAAATATACGTATAATAATAAACAGAGCAAATAAAAAATCCACAAGATTCAAATTATTCATCAGATTCACGCTCAAACGAATGATTCATCTGTTGACAACGAATCAGTTTCATTTCTGATCTTGTATAAAAAGGAAAACATTTCAGTATTGAAATCATAAAGACAGAATTACTAACGCTAAAATGGATTGTTTACAAGTAAAATTAGCAATAATAAATCCTACATCTACTTCTTTAGAGGATCAAGCATCTTTAAAGCTAAGTGAAACAGAGAATGAAGATAATATAGAAGAACTGCTTGACTTATCAGAAGAAATTGAGAAACAAGATGAATCACGTGACGGAAAAATCGATGAAATAATCAAAACAGAGGCACAAATAGAATATGAAACAATTAAACAAATAGAAGCTCAGATAGAAAAGAACAGAAATTTGAAGAAGCTTCTTCTTAATAAATTAGATGAATTAAGGGAAGTTGAAGAAACAAGTTTGTAATATTTTTAACACCTTTGTGATTATTTTAAGAAGAAGCTGAAAATAAAAAATTACAGAAGTCCTCGTGTTATTTATCGAGGGACTTAAGCGCATTTTTGTGATAGCGATCAGTATTTGATTATCTAATTATTAATTTGTTGCAATGAATTTCCATACAGAAAAGTTTTATCATTTAACGGTTTTTTAAAATTCAAATTTTACAAAAACAAGTTTCAAAAATGCGCTAAAAATTTATTATTACACTGTGTCTGCTCCAAGGGTGCGGAACTGATAAATTAAATTTTGATCATTTTTGATCATTTTATCAGTTTTACACCCTTTTGCTGCTCTTATTCATAGCTTACTTACTTTTTTGCTGTTTAGGGGTTGTTGTTGCTTTCAAGTTTAACTTGTGTTGTTGCTTTCTTTACATGTATTGAGTTTGGAATTCGAAAACCATCACTAAGCTAGTGATGAAAGGCTGCAACGCTTCATGTAAGGTTTTTAGTCAATCTATATTGTTTTTTTTTTTTCTGGACATAGCTCCGTCGTTGTGTAAAGCGATAACAGCCTTATTCAAAGGAACCACGTCACACAAGAAGTGAGTAATCCACACCATCCAAAGATTTCGTTTTCATTGAGAACAGCATCACAAGAATTTCCTAGTTGTCATAGTTCAGAGCTATTTGAGAATTCTTGGACCACTTCCTTTCAGCTATTTTATTTTTTACGTACAAAATTGAGTATCTTGCTCTATGGATAACAACAACTTACAAAGAAGTGCAACAGTCGTTTTCACAACAGACAATAATCATCGTAACTGCGGGAGTCAGCCAAGTTCAAAGTCAACCCTCACCCATCAGTTCTCAATTTAACACAATTTCAACTTAATAAAAAAATCCCATAAACTCTACCTTACATCCTCGACTTGCTCTCCTTGTGACAACTATGAATGTCGTAAGTCTAACACAGTTGTCAAGTATAAATGCAAGTGGATGTAGAGGGAGTGAGATGAGAAGAAATGTATAAAAAAAGTGAAAAGAGAAAATAAAAACTTTTAAATTTGTTGAAGCTATAAAAACTTTATGAGTATACAACGGAAGTACTTTATCGTCGTACTTCAAGGTGCTTAAAAGTTTAACACGATTTTTTTTAATATGATTATCTCATTTTTATATTTCCTTTTACAATTATTTCCTTCACGGACGATTGCAGGATGTAATGCGAACTTCCAGTGTCATGTCATCCTGAATAATTTAATTGCCAAGTCAAAATGATGTCAGACAAATTAAAGAAAGAAGTGTGAGTCAATAACTAATTTTTTGGTTCCCGTTCAATTCAGCAACAACAGAAAAAATGTGCGGCACACGCGAGATGGCAATAAATTTTAATTACACAAACCACTTAATGTTTACTCGAAAAAAAGAGCAAAAGAGAGCAGAATGAGTGGAAATATTACGGGAAGGAGGATCAAAATGAACCTGAGCAATTATTAGAAATTAATTGGTTGTAATTTTGACTTAATTGAGATAAATTTTCGTGTTTCTCGAGTGAATGACTGTTTTGAGGGCAATAAATGAAAGTACAAGTGGAAAAATATCGATGTAAAGTCCTTTTTCGTGTGTGTTGGTCGATAATTTATGGAAGTGATAGTTTTGGATGCAAGATTCACTGTCTGGACATAGAAAATATTGGAAATTTTAGAGATATTTTTGTAAGTAAACAATAAAATGCGAAATGTCTGAGTGGTCTAGTGCTGGCGTATGTAAAGATTGCAGTCTGTCTGCAATGAATTCAGGACTAAGGCTAGTCTTGAAACTGTCCATAGCCCCTGAAAACTGTCTATAAACTCTGGAAACTGTCTATAGATATAGTCACATTGCACTTAAATCCGACCCGATCGGCACACATTGAAATGTTTGCGACCCGGCACCTTGTTGCTTGGAAGCAACTTCCAACTGGATGCAAAGTAGTTGCCACGTGGCTGCCACTTGGTTCTAATTATACTATCAACCCAGCTGCCGGGTGGCAAAAATTTCAATGAATTTCAATGTGTGCTAATGGAGCGACATTCTGATTCATTGATTTTCAATCCAACGGTCTAATGTACAGAAGAGATTAACGGTGACCTGGCGGTGACTAAAGTTAACTATGTCTAATCAACTAGGGCTCTAGAACACTAGAGCAGTAAAGAGCAGTTAAGTACGCCAATGCTAAGTTCAGATTCTGAATTTAGAATTAAAAACTTACTAGATTTTCTTCAAATCCACAATAACTTTTAAATCCTTAATGTACCCTTCCCTCCGACATCCATCGTACCATTTTATATCCCATCCTTTAAACATGAATAAATGAATGTTAATGACATTAAACAATACGACAGCACCGAAAAAATCACTGTGTGGAACATAAAAGCAAAGATTGAGTCATCAAAATGTACAACAGCAAAAAAAGGAACGTGAACAGTCCGTAAAAGCACAAACAATAGAATGTAATGAATGTATATACACAAATATTACGAAGCTTTACTTAACAACCATAAAAAAATCATATCGTCATCATCATCAACATCATATCGTTCATAAACAACTCATTGTTCTTCTTGCTCACTCATTCACTCACTCATTCCTGTCTTTTGTGGATGTATACGTGAACTGGTTTTCCTTCCTTTTATATATGCTCGTTGAATGAATTATAATGTCTCCTGTTAATTTGATAACATTGAATTGATATGAAAATGAGCAATAAATGGAGTTGTGGAGAGGAAGGTGTGCTGATGGGTTTGGTCATGGATTTTTTGACTTAGTGTTGAGTTGTTCCCTTTAGCGTCATTCACCAATGAATTCAATTCTTCCTTTAATACCCAACTGATCATAAAATTACAACTAACCACCCATCCTCTCTTCTCTAAGAAGACGTTGTCAGTGCATAACTACTGAGTAAATTTCAAACATTTTTTAAGATCACAGAAATTATAGAAATATTGTATTAGTTAATATTGTGTATTAGGTTCTGACCTCGAGGTGCACGTTAGAGTGAATTTTAAAATATTTTCACACTTTATAGAATCTTATTTTTCCATACTATTGGCACACATACATAAAATATCAACAAAACTCCATCTTTACAGAACGAAAGGAAGCAGATTAATTTGAATAACAGCAATAATAATGATAATGACATTAATTTATAACACAATTCCTTTCGGTTTCATCTACAGCACTTTAGGAGACATACAATTTAATATAAATAAACCCATCAAGCCGCTTACACACATATAAAAGGTATTTTCGGATTTTGTTGTGATTCATATGGGAAGTAAATTAATTCAGTGAAGTATTTTGAGCTTGTACTTTAAAGGAGTGTGGGTGTTGAAGGCTTAAGAATTTAGTGTAGATTGGTATCAAAATCTTAATTTTGTGGGTGTCGAAATGGAATTATTTAAGAGCATTTGAAGCTTAAGCGCCTCTATTTAATAATGAAGGGTTTCAAATCTTGAGAGAATCAAACTTACATCGTCAGAAAATAACAGATTGAAGAGCTGTTTAGCTATAAAAGCTTTACTTGTACATTAAAAGATCACTTATTCAACTATGATTTCTTAAAAATTGATATTATTAAATTCTAAATTTTGGATGTCAAAACCCAAACCTTTCAAATTTCTACAGCACCCAACAAAAAGTATCAAGTTCCTTCCATAACAATAAAACCTCAAGCTTAGCATCAAACAAGCAAACAAAAGCATTAAAATAATGAACTCATGAGAAGTTTACAAATCATCTAAACAGAAGGCACACAATTAAAATAAACAGACTTACAAACATTTGAGATATTTTTTTGATAAGCAAATTAGCTTAATTGTGTTCAGCTGTAGACACAAAATAAAAGTTTTTATGCGAATAAGGATGGAGGGGGGGGGGGGGAATGTTTGGTGAGGAAGAAGTTAATTACATGTTTGTAAAGTTTAATTTTCTAGAGAGAATTGGATGAGATTAAATTTAAAGTGTGTGGTTGTATGTGATTGTTTTTATGATGGAAGTTTGTCAATTTGTAGGAATTTGGATTTTTTTAAAGATTTATTTTTTAATTCTGTTAAAATTGGACTTTTTCTTACAATCTTGACCAAACGGTTGACAAACATCATTGGAAATGTCCATTAGTTATTGGAAGCTAAAGATTTGGTACATAAAATCTCATTGGGCATCGTTATGTGAGTTTTAAAATTATTGAAATTCATTAAACTACAATGGTGGATACAGATTGTTTTGGAAATTACTAGATCTCATTTTAAGGAATTAATAGTGCTTACTTAGAATTTGGTGCACTTTATGTACTTTCCGAGATGCTTGATAAAGAGAGGATGCTTCGAATAAATCGTTTAGGATGCGCTTATTATGAAAACATAGGTCTAGATGACTCTTCAGCATTGAAAGTAGATGATAAAGCAATGAGCCCTCGTGGGCTTGAGCCAAAAAATCCAGAAAGTAAGTATTTTATGCGAAATGCTTCCTTTATTGCTTTCATACTGTTTTGTATCAAAATTTCCCATATTCATTATTCACCGTTCAATAACTTCTATCAAATTTGCCTCAAAACTCTCTTCCATAAACTTCAGTAACTTCTCATCATCATGCCATCAAGTCATGACCCAAATCATAATCAAATCAATTTAGTAATTAACACTCAAAAATCACCTCAAAAAATTACTCAGAACTTAAAATTTTACATGCACATAAAAGTATTAAAAACTTCCTTATATTCCCATCAAGGCATCTCGTTCACCAACCTTTCACTTGAACTCCTTTATTGTCTTAAACAACAAGTTTTCAGTCAAGTATCATAACAAAGACGGAGAAAATGAAAAGGAAGGAAAAACATGAAGGAACAAGGCACTTTACATTTAAGGAACATAATGTCTTTGTCTTGTTCTACTTTTTTCTCTCTCTTCCTTGCCGTTCCTCTTTCACTTCTGGGAGTAAAAAGTGCTCCATTCGATCATATCCATCCATAATTTTCAGACTCAATGGGGTGGAATGGAAACAAGGTGAAATTGTTTAATATAAAGGAACATAGGAAGGTATGAAAATTGATAAAAAGAGTGGCGAAGCAGAAGAAATATCTCAATTTCCTTTTTCTCACAGTCACAGGAACTGAATTGCTTAATAGTAGAAAATTGGATTTGAATTATGAGACATAAGTCGGACAATTGTTTTGTTTCGTCAATTTGATAGAAGTCATGTGAGGAGAATGGATGAAGTGAATTGCAAAATGAACATGTCTTACGCCATGTGCATCACGATGATATGTCATGAACAGAAGGCAACAGACATAAGTAATATTGGCAGAACATGTTGACGGAACTTTTAAGAGAAGAAGCTTTACGAAATTGAAGGAGGTTGGTTTTGTGTGAAATTGTTTTAAAACATTTGTTTAGTTTGCTGAATAAATTGATGAAAATCATTTTAAAAAAGTTCAAAAAATTGAAAAATTCGAACAAATTTTAAAAAGTTAAAAAAAAAGTTCAAAATTTTAAATTAAGTTTGTTTCGGTTTTTACACTCAATTTTGATTGAATATCATAATCTAAAATATTAAATTTGTGTGTTTTTCACATTCATCAAATGCAATACAGAATGACAAAAATTGAATGAATATCATCAAAATATGGGAATTTAATCAAAAACGCAAATTTATGGTCATTGAAATGGCAACAAAATGATTAAAAATATTGAAATCATGAGAATGATGAGAGTAAATTTTTTCATTCATTCGTTCCACCGCTTGATTATTTTAATGAAAACCACAGGATTTAAATATTTTGTAGCTTTTGAATTTTGATATTCGATACTTTTTGGAATAAATTTTGAATGATTTTTTACAATTCAACTTCATTTTGGTTTAATTTCATCAATTTTGAGGTTAATGTTATCTATTGCAATATAAATTGTTACAAGTTGAAGATCTGAGAAGCAAAGGTTATCAAAGTTGATATTTAAAACCTTTCAAATTAAATCAAACTCAACAAAAAATGTTAAATTTTAATTCCAAAAAAATAATGAAAGATTAGAAAGTTAAGCTTCAAAATCTCAATTATGTTCAAAATTCTCAGGTCATTAAACCAAATCTCTAAAGTAACGCAACAATCCTCATAAATCCTTCAATAAATCTTCAAAAGATTTCAACTCCAAAAATTTCAATCCTTAAACAAATTTAAAAATTCATTTCACGATTTTCGTGCATCAAAAAATGAACATCAGTGAAAATAAAAGCAGGAACATTCAAATACTGTTAATCTGACATGCATACAGTGATGAAAAGCCTCTTGAAAGCAATCCATCATCATCATCATCGCGACGTAAATTTTT